GCTAGCCTGGAGTTATACGGTATTCTGCCTTTGTTTTATTGTACATTAAAGTCTGCCGCGTACATACATCTGTCGTCAATTCTTTTTAGACAAACAAATTAGATAGATCGCGATCTAACAAACTGCTCCATATAACAAAGCACTGTAAACAAGCAACGACTAGATAACTTGGCAACAATAATTAATCGTAAATAATCTTTAACGTTTTTTCTTTTTCTTTTTATAATGCCGATGCCAGCTGTCAGTCTGGGGCTGCCCACTTCTGCACGTGTGAGGAGTCGAATGCCATGACAGCATATCACATAAAATCAGTTACTGTTCACAATTAAATCCCTTTCTTACCTTTTCTTGTAACTCGATAAGTAATATTGCAATGAACGTCATCGGAGATGTTTAATTCGCAATCATTCTGAGCATTATTCCTGCTGGCCTGCACATCAATCCACAATCATTCTTATAGGGTAAGCTATTTTCATTCAGTTCGATGTAAAAACAATAGGCTAAGTATGTCTTGCATCCTTTAATGTTAGCGAACATTGCAAATAAATTGGTTGCAAAACGGTATCCACTCACGTTTAACTTTTTGTCTGGTTGTTACAGTCAGGAAAAAAAATTGAATTACATTACTATATCCTACCTGTAACCCCTCTCTCCCGGGTCCTCACCGCCACACCTCGTTCTCGTTCCGAGTGAGTCTCTGGCGTAGGAGGCAGACGCGCTGACAAGGAGGCTAAAGACTGCAGCTTCTAGTGTCAGTTGCTAGTGCGTATCTTGAGATCAGTGGAGAGAGAGGTTTACCTGCAAAGCACCTACTCGCTGGCCTCCGTTACACTCACCCCCCTCATCCTCACTCCCATCCGGGTCACGGCACCAAAGATGTAGCCCTCTCTCTCTCTGCATGCTAAATGGCCTCTAGCACCGCCGCTGCTATTCTGCGCTGTGTTGTGTGTTCGTGAGTGGTGGTAGGGAGGAAGACACGGGCACAGAGGGGTTCGGGATTGTGGCTTGACCTTTTATTCCACAGCACGGCATCTATAGTGTGGATAACATGAACTCGCTTAAGTTTTAAACTAGTAAAGTACATTTCAATGCACATTAAATTCAATAACAATCTCTCGCTGCTTATATTATCATACATGGCTTTGCATCAGCCACCCCGTATTAATCACGCTCCAAAGAAAGAACAAAAAACATTTTAACTCTCCATATTACTCTGCATCTAGGTCTTTAGCAGTTTAGAACACAAAATATCTTAATAGACAGAACTTTAGAGCGATAACAACAAAGATATTTTAAATTGAAATTTCCACTACTGTTAATGTGACTTCCCTATAGTGTTGATAACATGAACTGAAGAAAAGATGGCGCACTACACGCCTATCAACGCTACAGTACATCAAAAGGCTCAAACCGCTAAAAATACTTGAATCTGCCCTAAAACAACAGTGTCATAGCGACATCTTGTGGACAACACAATACACTGCCCTACATACCCATAATTAATTTTTCTGGAAAAAAAAAAGTTTAAAGCCATTTTTCTAAGTTTCACAGTCTAGCGAGTTTCACACTCTGAAGCAGAGCGGCAGTCCACCTGTCACTCAAGTGGCCACGCCCTTAATTATGCAGAAATTTAAGGATTAATATAATTTAAAAGGATGAGTTATAAAAAAAAATTCACCCCCCTCACAGTTGTCATGAAGTTCAAAATTACCTATATAGACCAACAAAAAACATTTTAACTCTCCATATTACTCTGCATCTAGGTCTTTAGCAGTTTAGAACACAAAATATCTTAATAGACAGAACTTTAGAGCGATCACAACAAAGATATTTTAAATTGAAATTTCCACTACTGTTAATGTAACTTCCCTATAGTGTTGATAACATGAACTGAAGAAAAGATGGCGCACTACACGCCTATCAACGCTACAGTACATCAAAAGGCTCAAACCGCTAAAAATACTTGAATCTGCCCTAAAACAACAGTGTCATAGCGACATCTTGTGGACAACACAATACACTGCCCTACATACCCATAATTAATTTTTCTGGAAAAAAAAAAGTTTAAAGCCATTTTTCTAAGTTTCACAGTCTAGCGAGTTTCACACTCTGAAGCAGAGCGGCAGTCCACCTGTCACTCAAGTGGCCACGCCCTTAATTATGCAGAAATTTAAGGATTAATATAATTTAAAAGGATGAGTTATAAAAAAAAATTCACCCCCCTCACAGTTGTCATGAAGTTCAAAATTACCTATATAGACCAAAACCACTTTTTGTACCAAGCTGTTAACATTTTTTTCTGCTGTAAATTTGGGCATTTTAACATGGCAGGTCTATGGTACTGACTCCCTTTGGGAGCCAGCCTCTAGCGGTCAGTCGATGAATTGCAACTTTAGTCACTTCCGTGTTGGTTTCTCGCGAGAGACCGGAAGGTTGCCGCTTGATGGAAACCCATTAATGTATCTTAAAATGTAACCTTGCTCTCACTTGAAATGTGTCCCCACATTAACAGGGTGGCCACGGGTTCTTAATGTCTTAAAGTTTTCCTAATAAAAGGCCTTAAAAAGGGTCATTGGATGCCCATTTTCCACAAGTTGATATGATTCTTTAGGGTCTTAATGAAAAGTCTGTAACATAGTTTGGTTAAAATTTCTCAATGGTAGTGTAAAAAAACATCTCTTTTACCCTGTCAAAAACAGCTCTTTTCAGATCAAGCCGTTTTTGTAGCATTTTCCTTTAAATGTTAATGAGCTATGCTGACCCCGCCCCTCTCTTCTGAGCTGCTCTCAGAGAGACGGTTTACTTTAGCCGTATTCATCGTGAAACTTGCTAATTCGCACATTATTAGGAAAGGCGATTTGCAAAGATTAGTTAAAAAAAACCTTACACTCACTTCTTCTGTAGGTGAAGATAGATCATGAATGATTCACGCGAACATAGATGCATTTATGTAGATTGGGGGGGCGCATTCCCTTCAGAAACAAACATAATCCACTGCGTCTTCAGCGGCTCAGATGTCGGGAGTAAATGACGACTGCTATGTTCATTATTACATCCAACAACAGAACACCTCAATTCACTCCGGCGGTGAAACAATGGCGGACTGATGACAGCTCACTCAGGGCGGGTCTAAGGTAAGACACCAGTCCAGTCTGTGCTGAAACGCTACTGTCAATCAAACTATCGTGGGAGGGGCTTGTTTTTGTGACGTCACACAGACAGGCATCTGAGATCGGCTCGATTTGAGAAAGGGGTAAAGATTTTAGTAGATTAAAAAAAACACTGGGTGAATTTTTATCATTATAGGGTGGTTGTGTACACACACTGCCAACACACGTTTCAGTTCAAACAACTTGTAAAAGAGCATGTAGCATCCGATGACCCCTTTAAATGCCTTAAATTCAGATTCGATGGGTCTTAAATGGTTTCGGTCCCAGTTCCGCAAAAATTTCTCCAGTCTGACGGACCCGTTACTGCTACAGTTAGCTGACCAGCCTCCTAGCTAGTTTAAAATGGGTTAATGCAAGTTTACTGAAAATGGCTCTAGAATTTTACTTGCCCGACCGGACAAAAAGCCTGATTAAAACTTGTGGCAAAAAATAATCAAAGCATCGAAATGCAAGAATGATTCTTCTGATTTTATTACATTCAACGTAAACAGCGATTGGTAATGGACAGTGTATGCGCTTTTTAGGCTCGTGCTGCCTGTTTCTTTGTAAGACTTTTATGGAAAAATCAAATCAAATGAGCAAAAGTGCTGAACGTGAGAAACTCACAGAAGAAACTACTATGGTAAAAATTCAAAATGTTACGTTTTTTATTTATAACATGATGTTGTTAAGCAACATACCATGGCAAGGGATCTAATCGCCTAATATTCTCACGATTGCAAATGTTACATTGATTTTAGTTCAATAAACAAGTAGTTGAGAAGTCATGTATTTGGGTTACTTGCATTTTAGACACAGTATTGACTGTTTTGTTCTGTTTCACCAACTAAAATAGTTCCAAACAAAGATCACAGCAGATGTATAGCACAATCTCCAAGCAACACGCAGCTGTGTTTTTGACTGAATAATTCAGTGAATGGTTGGTTGAATTAACGAGTCACTAGACTCACTCATTAGAGTTACCGCCACCTACTGGCGGGGTTAGTATGTTTAAAAGTATGTATTCCCCCAACATTTCCATTTTGTATATTCAAAATTGCATTTAAAACATTAATCTCATAACATTAATGCAGTTGTAATTGTGCAATGTAAATTAATTTGTTTGATAACAGCCTTAGTGTAAATTGAATCTATTGATCGGTTGTAAGAATTTGACATGGCCTTTATAAAAGTAAATAACATCCTGAGGTTAATATCAAAAATATGCAGATAAATGTAAAAGCCGACAGAACACCGATCAAATATTGCTTCAGAATAAATGGTTTACACCACCAGAAATGGTCTCAATCACGAAATCCTTCCAGTGCACTGGAACGTTCGCTCCCTGAAAAATCCTCAAAAACAGTAATACAACCATCAACACATAAAAATGATAGACAATGACAACAAAATAAAAGAAAAAGGGGATGTTTAATACATTACAAACTGAAAAAAAAAACTAATTGATCAAAAATATGCAGATAAATGTAAAAGCCGACAGAACACAGATCAAATATTGCTTCAGAATAAATGGTTTACACCACCAGAAATGGTCTCAGTCACGAAATCCTTCCAGTGCACTGGAACGTTCGCTCCCTGAAAAATCCTCAAAAACAGTAATACAACCATCAACACATAAAAATGATAGACAATGACAACAAAATAAAAGAAAAAGGGGATGTTTAATACATTACAAACTGAAAAAAAAAACTAATTGAGACTTGCATGTCATTCATTAAAGATAGGAAAAGAGTTACAAACAGATAAAGTTTTTAACGCTTTTTTTTTTGTTCTTAGACACTTGGATCAATGAAAGGTATTTATACAAACAGAGTGTCGAGATGCCACATCCACTGCTGTTCTCGTCTCGGCTGGTCGCCATATTAAACCTGACGGAATCAGCGACGCTCCGCGGTTGGGATCGCGAGGGGCCCCTCTCCAAAACAAATCCCGATTTACACCTCCATTCCCCTTATTCACCCCGGGAATCATTTATGCATCGGACTGAATAAGCCAGTCTGTTCTCAGACAGGAGTTGTCTGGGAAGGAGATTTAGTTCTAGTGTGTTTGAGAGATGAGTACTTTGACCCAGCGGAGCTCCGGCCTGGTGCAAAGACGCACCGAGGCTTCGCGCAGCGCTGCAGCCGCAGACCGAGACCGCGGATCCGGCGACGAGGACTACGAGCCCCGCCGTGGAGACGAGCAGGACGACGATGACAGCGGTGACTCCAAGGAAACCAGACTGACCCTGATGGAGGAAGTTCTGCTGCTGGGCTTGAAAGACCGCGAGGTTGCTGTTGTTTTGCTTTATTTTGTTAGTAGTTCTCTGTAGTCGATGTTTAGCCATTTATCTCTCATCTCCACTCACCACGATCGCTCCCATTAGAGAAAAAAAGAAAGCTGGAGCTGGAAATAATATGATTGTTTTTTGTTTTATCCTGATTGTTTTTAAATTGGTGACGTTTTGAGTTAAAGTCAACCACAATGTAGCTTTTAGCTTGTCCTGAAATGCATTATAAGTTCTCTCAGGCCCACCAGACTGTCATAGCAAACAATAGTTTAGTGAACAACAGTTTAAAACGAAGACGACTGTAACTGTCTTAATATACAAATGTAGCCCGTTTCATGTAGCATGTGGTAAGCAGTGTGACATTAGGATGCTATGACGCTGTCATGTCATTCAGGCTTTGCCGTAATTATATCTTGCCAGTCTGTCATTCTAGCAAAGCAAATAATCAAAGAATCACATGTAGTCATGATGTGTTTAACATCTACTCTACTGTTTTAAAGATTGGGTTGAGACTGGCAACATGTTTTACATTTTTTGAAAGAAGTCTTCTCACCAAGGCTGCATTTATTTGATCAGAAATATTTTAATATGCTGATTTGGTGCTCAAGAAAAAAATATTTATTATTAACAATGTTGAAAAGGGTTGCTTATATATATATATATATACAATTTTTTTTGTCTTTAATTTAGATTTTTAAAAAAATCTTTCTGAGGAAATTGTGATTTGATTTGGCAAGATCAGATTGCTTTTTTTAAGCTTTTGTTTTTAAAACCTACAACTTTTTTTTTTCTTCCTTGCATTCAAAATCCACATACTTCTCATATTTGAATGAGCATGACCGTGCGCGATGAACTGCCATGATACAGGTCATTGAGAACTCAGAATGATATCACATTGTGCTTCTATCGCTCTGGATGTTTTGCATGTGCTCTACTTCACGTGCGGAGCAATGCCTGTTTTACCAGTGCCTTGAAAGAGGCCTGTTGTTCCCCAGTAGTGGCCTCTGGGACAGGAGACTGGACCTTCACAAAGCAGGCCTTGTTAAAACTGGAGAGATCCATTGCTCACTTCATCCACTGCAACCATGACACTGCACAAACTAAAGTCATCATAACTATTAGTGTTAATTTCGTTAACGAAGACTATGGCGAAAAATGTTTCCCTCATGACTAAGACGAGACGATAATAAGGTCAATAAACGATAACTAAGACTATATCAACATGCAATTTAGTTGACGAAATAAGACGAGACTAAAATGTATTCAAAAAGATAACAACTTTACCAAAAACCTCTTTATTTTCGTCAAAAAAAGGAGGCAAAATGTTATTGCGCACAGTTCTACATGCCTCTGCTAGACGAGCTTTCATGAGTGAAAATTATTTTCTGCCCGGTGTTTTGCTTAATTTAAGCAATATGGCAACCATGAGCAAGTGCTCGCACCTCATTGCGGAAGCGCCACCGCAGATGATGATCTGAAAAACAAACAAGCTGGAGTTTATCGATCTAATTGAAAGCATCCTTCAGACGGTCTGTGTTCTGTCATCATGAGAACTCGACTATATTGTTTGCGATTGTGAACGCTGAATAAATACACTTACTCAACCGCTGTTGTATTAATAGAGAAATAGGCTATTGCAATTTGGAATTAGTAGAATTACTAATTTCACTGTTATAATATTTTTCGTTTGTTTTAGCTGTTTTCATAATGTAGACCGAGAGATTACATAAGTCTTTGGTATTAATTTATATAATAAAAAGCCTATAATAAATCAGTATAGTAGATGAAGTAAAATAGCTACACCATGTATAGCCTATGTCCACATTCTATTGATTTGTGCTTACTGGAGAAAGTGCAATACCTGAAATGCAAAAGTAAATTTCTCAAATGACAACAAACATTACGATTATAATTTTCAGTTTAACCATTATACAGAATGATGAAAATGTGACTAAGATTTCATTGACTAAAACCTAAAATGCTCATACATTTCATTGAATAAACAAAAACAGGACAAGGTTGTCTAAATATAACTAAAATGTACATTTGAGTAAGACTAAATTAAAAATGGCTGCCAAAATTAATACTGCTGTACGGTTAATTAATAATAATCTTATTGCTAAAATGTCAAGTTGTCATTGACTAAAACTAGACTAAAATACTTCAGGTTTTCTTAGATTTAAACTAGACTAAAATGTTGAGACTTTTAGTCGACTAAAACTAAATAGGATAAGGTTGACTAAATATGATAAAAAAACTAACAAGGAAATTTTAGCCCTGGACTAAGAATAAATTGAAAATAGCTGACGAAATTATCACTAATAACTATGCCTGAGTGTTGGGCAAAATTCACAATTTTAATTCCTGAATTCAATTCAGGCCACACCACACAGGAAGCTGAAGTGGAATAACAGAATGAGAAATTTATTGAATTACAAAATGCAATAGTCGCACAGAATTTTATTAGTCCAACACAAACTGTGTGACAAAACAAACTATTATTATTTTCATTATTGTTGTTTTGTCTATTTATGACTATTTATTCTCCAGTTTGTAGAATACATTTTTACCTCAACTAATTGGGCAAGCTAAGTTTGCTACAGTTTTAACAGCCATCAATTTGACCTCTGCAGTTTTATCTTACAGCGCCACAAAATGATGATAAACAAGCTGAAATGATCTGTTTTCAGATAATTATAAAATAAGCTACGATGAACTGTCTGTTATTCTGTTATGCTATTTAAAATGTAATTTATTACATATGTAATGTACATGTATAAATATGAATTTATGTAGGTGGCATTTCAAACTTTGATTATTAATGTATAAATACATGAATACATAAATACATCTATCTACCCCATATGTGCTGTGTGATAACATATTTATGGGCAATTCATACTGCACTATATATATATATATATATATATATATATATATA